CAGTCATTAAGTAACTTTTTCATTCTCTACAGATTAGTCATACCAGACAGCATAAAACATTGCTATAGGCAACACACCTAACAACTAGAACTCATGGGAAATACTCCAGAACAGTGTGACTGCCATAACATGATAAAATCATGGTGTCAGCCATTTACCGTCCAGTTCATCTGCTTCTGAAAAAAGCAGATCACCTACTCAGAGTCTTCAAAAGAAGAAAGCTGAGAATGCTTATAAGAGGGATGAAAAACCTCTGATTATGAACTAAATGTGTACATGGATGTTCCTCATCTAGCCCATAAGTTTCTCTTATTGGCATATCTGAGTGATAAAAAATAAGAAACTGTAAGTTATTTAAGCTTGGAAAGCTATTTAGAGAGCCAGTGTAGTGATTTGAGCACTGGAGACCACGGTTCAATTTCCTGTTTACCCATGGAAGCCCACTGGGTGACCCTGGGCAAGTCACACACTCTCAGCCCCAGAAAACCCCATGATAGGGTCACCTTAATGTCATCATGAATTGGAAATATCTTGAAGACACACAACAACAACAAGCTACTGAACAGAACAGATCTCCGACATATACAGCTAAGTCCTAGAGTCCTCCCTTCCACCCAAACTACCAAAAAAGATGAAATGAGCTGAAAGAGGTTTCCAGCTTAAATCAACATACATTGTACAAGCAGAGCCCAGAAAATAGCTTCAGTCCCCTGAAGCAAGATTATTGTGCCTTAAGAATTCTCTTTGTTTGGAAAAACAAAAATAATCCCAATTTACACTACTTTAAGCAGAACCCAAGTGGAAGAAAAATGGTAAACCTACAGAAATTTGGCTAGGAATTTCATCTGACTATTAAAAGAAAGGAAAACTGAGTTCAAATTCGAATCGTTGTCTAACTTAAGCTAGCATGCATCACTCACTTATTTCTCATCGTAATTTAAGCCACAACTATTGTTGTGATAAGTGAAAAAGAACTGTGGATTTGTGGCTAGCATCTGTGGATTTCTTCCAGACTGACTATTTTCAGCAAATATAGAATAAAAAATGCAAAACAAAACATGAAAAAATGTCTGATCCTTGTTAATACAGAAAGAAAATTAATTAAAATATTTACACAGAATGAAAAAAAAGTTTCTACATACTGCAATTGCTTAATATATCATCTTTTACACTGCTCTACAATTGCTAAGTATGTTACTTTTATGTAAATTAAACATTGGGGACAGTGGTTTGATCCCTGCAACCCTCTCCCAGATATCCACATAACTTTTCCCCACCTCTAATAATAAAAAACAATAATAAAATTTATTTCTATCCCGCCCCTCTGCAGCGCAATCAGGGCAGCTTACAACAAATTAGACATCAGTAAAATACATCCAGTCCTCAAAACCCCTCCCATCCCTTAAAAAAATATTCAAAACATTAGGGCAA